CCAGCTAAAGAGGCTGAAATGGAAAAAATCCTGAAATCAATGGAGGTATCACATATTCATTTCCAAAACCTGTAAGGTATATAACGCTGTCTGGTGTAAATTTGTTTTCACTGGTTTCAGGGTATGCCAGGAGCACCGGGCATGAAAATGTATTCAAGGGAAGAACTTATGAATACGAAAAATTTTGGCAACGAGGATGCTGATGATGATGAAGATGACGAGGAAGAGCCAAACTTCCCCTCCAACTTGGTACCGAAAAGATTTTAAATAGATTTTAAAAACTTTTCATGAAATATTTAGTTTCTCTAATTGTAAAATCTCATTTCTTCAGAAAAAAGTATTGCGAGAAAAGGAGAGTAAAAAGGGTGACTTGAAGCAGATGATCACAAAAGGAATCATGGATACATGGGATGCACTGAAGAGACATGCAAGCAAGGTACCCAACCGGGTAAGAAGATGGTGGAGAGGAATGAAGGCATCATCTTCAAAGAATTCAAAAGGCAAGAAGGCAGAGCTTTAAGATACCGTAGATGGCAAAACTGTGGGAAGAATTGCACCCGGCACAATTATTTACTACATGGAAAGCAACTCTAGTAGCAGGAGTTTGCGGAGAAAAGTTTTGGTTAATTTTTTCCTCACTCTTTTTTCCTTAAGTTTTGGTTAATTTTGTAGTTGATTCTTTTAATGTAATTGAGTATCTGGTGGGAGTGCAATACCACTAAATGGAAGCTCTGTTGAACCTATCGCATAGGATCATCAGAAATGTGAAAGCTCTATAATGCCACTACATGTTTTTGAGTTTTGCAGAAGATTTTCATCTGGTCATGGTGATTCCAGGTCATTTTCTTTTGTTGGAGAAGAGAATCAAGAACTCGTGGTTAAAGTGAAAACCAAAAGATTACCGCACAGATAGTCATTTATCTATCACAGATAAAATAGGAAATTATGAATGCTGTAGCCATACAAGTATGCCTGGAAATCAATGTATTTGCTAAATATGTTGCGAAATTATTAAGCAAAAAGTATCACCAACAGTAATAATTATGAAAAAAAATATATATATATAACTACAAGGTAAATGCAACTTGTAAAATATTTAATTTAATACAAGGTAAATATAACAGTTCTATATTAATTTTTATTAGTTTACTTGAAATGTAAATTTAATGTTAATTAATCACTCCAAGTTTGCTACATATACATAAAATAGGTGCTTTACAACTTTTCTTAGGGTTAGAATCAAAGTTGTGACCAAATTAAAATCAGCTTCTGTTTTGTATTTTCATTTCAGCTCTTTGTTCGATTTTCCTTGGTTTGGTTTAATTTCTAGCTGAATTACATTCCTACATGTTACCATTAAATGGTTTTAACCAAAAAAAGAAGAAAGAAATTGCATAAAGCTCAAGCTTATCCACTATTAACACATGAAGTATGATGAGAGTTCAAACGTATGCACTAAATTCAATTATTAACTCTCAATTATTTCAATTAAGTTGAATACTGGATCTGCTTAGAGTTGTTCTGTGTGTATGCATCAAGCCTCTAAGATAGTGCATACTAGGAGACTATCTTAACGAAGCTTTATACCTAGTCGCCAGAAACAAGAAGCAAAACTACGGTTATTACAGTCTTGAGACAGAGATAGCAGGTGAATTTTTGCAAAGAAAAAAATGAACCCAAACAAAAAAATTTCATAAATTAAAATATCAAAAGTAAGCATAACGTTGCATAACCTTAAGGGAAAAAAAGATTAAATATTGGAATTTGACTGATATAATACATATGATTCTATGCCTTTGCCCTATCCTTAACAGGCAAATTCGGAACAATAATGGCTACTTGATGTGCAGGTAGGCAGCAACAGCTCATACATACCATAGGGGGCAGCAATTAAACTCCAAAACGACCATCTGATTGGGCCAGCGACCAAGCATACATCATTCTGGAAATCTGTTAGCATTATGAAAGCAATCAGCGCATTTTATAATGTTGAATCCTGGAAACAACACAGTGACGACCACTCAATGAATATTTGAGCATGATGTCAATGTCTCGTGGATTTTTCTTGTTTGGAGCAACTGTCATGCTCCCAGTAATTGCCTCCCCTTCACATATTGTTAACACATCTTCCAGATACAGAACTGTTTGCTTCCAATGCGTAGCCCGTGATCTCGGTCCTGCATTATATTAAAACTTCTTATATTTTAAGCTGTTCAAAATGTAAGTTTTATTTTGGTCTAGAATATAGACCCTAACAACTAGGTGTTGCAGTCAAAAAATAGCAAAGTAAATATATACTTCTCAGACAATCAAAATATACTTATATGACATCATGGATTCAGAAACAAAGCCTCATGACATGATAGATTTTGTTCTTCAGCTAATGCAGGAGAAAACTTTGAAGTACTAGGTCAAGAAAAACCCTTAGGTAGTACATGGTATAATTTACATTCCATTTCTAACTAATTTTTACACTATATTAGTCTTTATAGATGGGAGCATAATATGATTTTTATTTTTGAGCTACATCCACACCCACCTTGAACTCAATGGTGGTGGGATTTCCAGTTCCCACTGTAATTCAACCAATCAAGACTAATATGAAGAGAAGTGCAAAGATTAGCTGGAAATGAACTAGAAATTGAACCACAGAGAACTAATCTGCACCATAGTTAAATAAGGGAAAGTAAAGAAAAGAGATAAACCTGTGGAAAAGCCCATCAGTTTATGGCACTTGGTAAATGATACATCAAAATATGCTACCAGAGCATGGATGTAATCATTGCGTTCTGCCACAAGCTTAAATGGGGCTGTGAAGGAAGCATCCCCAGGGGACATCTTAGAGATATCCATTGTCTGAAACCAACACAAATAATCGCACATCAGCCATCAGCAAAGCAATAATTAGGGAATAAAAGAGGTAGAAATAAAAATTTTGAAAACTGCATACAAAGCATATCACCTTGAGAAGCTGGCAGTTTGTGACAATTTGATTCTGGTCAACTGTGTCAACCAGAGGTTCCATCATGGCTTGCTTTTTGATGCAGCTCATGTTGAAGCCATAAACATTATTCCAAACTGGAGTTGCAACAAATTATGTGAGTTAACAAAGGCGAGATCCTATGCAATCCACAAATTGAGTAAGGAATCATATATAATTTACTTGTAATATGCAGAAAAAGTAAATCAGCTCACATTCAATTTTGTCATCTTTGTACTCTGCATCCTCAATGGCTGTCAAATAAAGAGAAGCTTTATCTGGTAATACGAGTCCGTCGTTGACCTGAAAATCCAAATCACGCATAATATATTGGAAACGAATGATTCCTACGTATTGAACCAAAAATTATAAAAAGATATTTCATTCTAGGTGCTGTTAGCACATGTGGAGCACAAAGCACCACTTGAGAATTTGTAAATAGAGCTGTCATAAGGCAAATCACTTAGTGACGTCTTATCCCCAGGGACAAGAAGGGTTTGAACCCAATTTTTCAAGGGTAGAGAATTGAAGGAAACTTGTGTGGAAATAGAAGAGAAAGAGAAATAGACAAAAGAAACAGGTGAGTAAAGTTAAGAAGAGAGATAGATATGCCATTAGGATAGAAAGAAATAAAAAACAGATAAAGATGGAATAGACTCCTAGCAAGTAATTATAAATCAACTTTTTTACTATTCCCTAGGTAGCCTTTATGTAGAGATTAATTACAATAAAAGAGATTATACCATTGATATAGACATAATAAAAAAGGTATCAAATCCTAATAAAACTTAAAATATATTGAATTAGACAGGCACTATAATAAATATTTACTAATACTAAAACTATCCAAATTCTAACTTTTTTTCATTCCCTAAGTTTCCTGTCTTTTCATTTCAATGATCAATTTCTTCTGATTCTTTCTATCTTCCGTTTTCTCCTGTAACTTCCGTCTTTATTATTTTTATAGCTTCCCTAGCAGATTCTGGGTAATATGCTTGTATAAGGATTACTAACCTAACAATAGTACATAACTTTGAACGAGAATTATTGGTGCAGTTAGTTCCTTGTTTATACGGTTCTTGCTCTTTCTAGCCCACATATTCAGCCCATCTCTCCCTTATATCTCAAGATCCAAGAAAAGCAAAGGTAACAAAAAAGTACCCATAGACGCAAGAGGTAGCACAAACTAACATATGAATGACTGTAAAATAGATGAGACTTACAAGCCATTTGTCTCGGGCGTACAGAACTGTATTTAACATATTCTCAAACAACAAAAAATATCCCATCCACTCTGATATGATTATATCCACTTTAGCTGTTGGCAGCTCTATTTCTTCTATTTTTCCTTTCAAAACTGTTATAACTGCAAGAATCAAATAATTGTCAGTTGAGTGTAAGAAACTGAAGTATTCAGAGCAACAGAATTGGGGAAAAAAACTGAAATCAAGGGTAAAAAACAAAAAGCATCACCATCAGATAGTCCATTTGTTTTAACAATCTCTTTCGCCATGTCAGCCATATGGGAACACTCAACCTAGGCAACGAATAACCACACAAATTAAGCAAGTTCCAAATTAACTATGACAAACTTACAACAGATACAGAGCACTACGCAACTAATTACGGAACACAAAAAGTTGGGAAAAAGTAACAAGTCGGACAAAGGTGAGAGGCATACTGCATAAACATGTGCTGCCCCTGCTTTAGCACAAAACAAGGACAAAATTCCGGTCCCAGCTCCAACATCAAGAACAACTTTATTCTTAAATAGAAATTTGTTTTGGTTGATGACATTCTGATATGTCTTAGTTCTTACTACATCTTTCAGCATTTCCTGTAACACAATAATAAAGCGACTTAACTGCAAGATGTTGTTGCAAGAAGAAAAAAAAAAGAATAATGATTCTTTAACAAGACCAAACAAGAGAACGATTCAGCTATACCAAGATCTCTTCAGAATTCTTGATCTTATAATAGTGTGGAAAAAGAGAGCAATTTTTTAAAGAAAGAAACCAAAAAAAAAAAATTATAAATAAACAATTGTATGTTCGTGTATTGCAGAAAATACTCTCGACATGATATTCAAAGAAACAGTAATATAAAAGAAGCGGTACGTGTGAGATAAACAAGAAAAATCATCTGATCTAGCTGTAGCTTTGAGTTAACTGAAAAAAGAATACAAGCACTTCGATCCATGTTCAATTAACAGCTACAATTAATATAACTGGATGTTCCCTGCCAGAAGGTGCCTTAACACATAGAACAACAACTAATCTGCTGGGAATGCCATTACAACATCACAAATTTGTTTCAGTAAACAGAAGTCAGAACATACTCAATTGAAATGACAAGGTAAAGAAAATCATATTTCCAGATCATAAAACCATTTGTCCTGAAGCCAAAAACTGAATTGAAGATGAACTGTATTAAAAACATGTAATACCAACAACCAATAACAAATCTAGAGTCGGTTTGCATCCAACTGCGCATACTTACTTCGTGAATACCTGCAAACAAACAAGGAAAAGAGAGAAAAAAGATGAGCTTTTGAAGGGAAATCTTCAAACAGAATAACTAGAGAGCACCAAGAAAAAGTTCTACATAGACATTTCCCAACCCTATATTCATCACAGTAGAGTAAGGATGCAAAGACCAATCAAATAAACAATGACCAAACATTATCAGAAAGATTAGCTGCCATTAATGAAAAATTTACGTAACTTCGTATAATATGAATTTATAGGGATTCGTACCGCAGTTCGATCTATTCAATAACCTGATAAAGTTTCACATAATAAATGTATTCATATCGGCAGCTGGACTGTGTGCCATATTAACAATTAATAAAAGAGCAAGATATAACCTCGTCCTTATGATTTGACCCATTTCAAAAGAAAAAGTTAATGATTTGTTTTGTGACAGTAGTCTGATTTGAGACTTCATTTTTTAGACTTACTCAAAAAGAAAGTTAAAAAAAGAATATTTCGTGACATATAATCACTTTTTGCAACATAAATTAGCCCAAGTTTAAAGACAAATTTCATTCATTTGTCAATGATTGTAAAGAATCATGTGAGATTCATCTCATCACTAAAACATTATTAAAGTCATGAAAATTTACATTGGCCAATAAAGTAGCAACTAGCCTATGTATAAATGTGAAACCCAAAGATTTAGAACTATCGCAGAACAACCCAACT